TCACACCGTCTCTCTCTCGCTCTCTCTCTCTCTCACTCGCTCGCTATTGCGCTCTCTCTTGCTCTTGCTCTCTATCACCCTCTCCATCTTTCTCTCTTTCTCTCTCTCCCGTTCTTTTTTCTCTCCTTCCCCTCCTTTCTCCCCGCCATCTGTCTCTCTCTGACTTCCTTATTCTCTGTTTCTTTTTCAATCGTTTTTCACGCGATTTTTCCAGTTTAATGTATTTCGCCATCTGCCAGTAAGACACTTGCTAGCACCATTAGATGGCAGCGCACGTTCACGCAAATATAGGCGCCTGAACAACAGCGTTACACCTCTGACATTTAATTTTACCCGAGCTAACCCCACCGTCTTAGTTGTTGCGTTGTGTGCTTGCAGGCTACGCTTTCCTGCTGTTCCAAGACGAGAGTTCCGTACAGGCCCTGATTGACGCCTGCATCCAGGAAGACGACAAGCTATATCTGTGCGTGTCAAGCCCAACCATCAAAGACAAGCCTGTACGTATATACACCTACTTATACCTGTACACACGCATACTGCGCATATAGCTACACATATATATACATACCTACCTACATACCTATACACTCACACTGCATGGCGTATGGAATGATTGATGTCGGGGTAGGGGCGGTTGAAAGCATCAAACCGTGAAGGGGGAAGTGCGGTAGGTGTCATGGCAACAGGATGCTGCGTAGGATGGATCGATGCAGGCGCACGCGAGTTGTCGTTGATCAAACAGAATAGAAAACGATCGGAGACGGAAAATTGCTCGGAGATTGAAAACTGGGCGCGCGGCCGCCACAGAGTGAGGCAGCGCCCAGCAGAACTCGTGCAGTAGGGAGTAGGCGAGCTTGAATTACGAGCAAAAAAACCCACAAGTTATTATATATAATCACAATTACCTGCGCAACAGTGACACATGTGCCCGCGTCGTGCAGAAAGCCTAGTTCTCTCGCTAATATAAAGGCGTAAGTAAAAGCTGAGGGACGGCAGTGCATTGAGCTCGCAGAATTATAGTGCTGATGTCAAGTTGTGTGTGAATGCAGAGGGAAGCTTAGTCTCTGTACACGCTGTAATAAATAATCCCCACGTAGTCGGACTATTCGATGTCTGTGAAGGGTGTCCAGCTGAGCATTAGCAAGGGAGCGGGGGAGGGACCGTGGGGGAGAAGGGTGAAGCAATGGAGAGCGTACGAGAGAGGAGGGTGGAGCAAGTGGCACGGGGAGAGCAAATAAGAGGAGAGTAGAGCAAAGAAGGAGAGGAGGGCCCAAGGGAAGGTTGAATGGGGCAAGGGAGATGGGGTGGGTTAATGGAGAGAGAGAGCGATGGTCAGAGTGATAGGGCAAGGCAAGATGAGGGTGATCAAGGCAGAATGGGAGGGGCGAAGGAGAACAAGAATTTAGGGAGAACGGGAGGGAGCAATTATGAAACGGAGAGCGCAAGGAAGACGTGGAATGACTAACGCAGACGGGGACGAAGCAAAGACGATGCAGAGGGAGGAAGGGAGAGGAGCGCAAGGAAGACGTGGAATGACTAACGCAGACGGGGACGAAGCAAAGACGATGCAGAGGGAGGAAGGGAGAGGCGATGGGAGATTTTCCCCCACAGAACTAGCTCACGCTGATCGCTACAAGTACTGAATGGAGCGCAGCGCCATCTGTGGTCGCGTACGAGAACCTCAGCGTCCGTCAGCTCACGGCCGTACCTTAGCGTATTCGTTAGGCACTTGGATCGTTTCAATAATACAATGATAGCAATTAAACACAAATTGTATTTACTAACAAAGTCTATATGTATATTGTCTATATTGCTAATAATGGAATTAAGAGAGTAGATAAACATTAAGATTCATGTACGTGTAGTAAATACAATTTGTGTTTATTTACTATCATTTTATTATTGAAACGGCCCAAGTGCCCGTGCGTCTAATGGGCAATGATGCTCATGGGGTACCTTAGGCAGTGTTAACCTTGCAGTCCATTCTCTAACTCGCTCTCAATCTCTCTCGCTCTCTCTCTCTCTCTCTCTCTCTCTCTCTCTCTCTCTCTCTCTCTCTCTCTCTCTCT